ATAAGTATATTTTAAATGCTAAAATATCGCCAATTAAATTATTTTACGGGGGGGGGGGGGGCTAATAAAATTCTTCGTATACGTGTGGGCAAGTGTAAAACCTTGACACGAATGTTGACAACGCTTGCAGTAATCGTCGAGGCACCAATAAATCAATAATAACACTATCAAAAGCACCCAAACAATGCAACAACGAGCAGATTACCTTGATTGTTGATTCAGAAATGTGCGTCGAATATTTTCTTCAAAAGATCGTGTGTTTGATGAATTCTTCAAATAAAACACGAAACGGACCCGATTACTTTATAATGTAGGTCTGGATATGCAGCTTTTATAAATGTGTATCAGAAAAACAATGTTAAATGTTTAGTGTGAATTCAGGGCAACAATCCAAAATACCATATCAAAAGATCTAAAATAAATTATCACAATTGGTTACACCTCAGAATGTACACAGTACATAGATTCAGGTGTATTCTTCGGTTTTAAACATTCCGTTATTATAACGAAGCAGTGTATATTTCGCATAAAAGTTTAGGAATCATGTCACTAAGGCTCTAAGCCGAGGACAGATCATTCAGGTTACAAACCGAGGTAAAGTTCCGAGGTAAAGTCCCAAGCTCAAAAACCGGGATCATAACAACAAGATTACAAACGTAGAAAATGTCCCAAAGCTACATACTTGTAAATAACACGATCATTGTAAGATTACCCAACGATACAAACCAAGTTCAGATCACCCAAACTACAAACAAAGATCAAATCATTATGGTAACCAACCGCAGTCAGATCGTCATGGTAACCAACCGCAGTCAGATCGTCATGGTAACCAACCGCAGTCAGATCGTCATGGTAACCAACCGAAGTCGGATCATCATGGTAACCAACAAAGATCAGATAATCAAAGCTTTTAACCGTGGTCAGATCATCATGGTAGACAACACAGATCAGATAATCAAAGTTTATAACCGAGGTCAGATCATCATGGTAACCAACAAAGATCAGATAATCAAAGTTTATAACCGAGGTCAGATCAACATGGTAACCAACAAAGATCAGATATCCAAAGTTTATAACCGAGGTCAGATCAGCATGGTAACCAACACAGATCAGATAATCAAAGTTTATAACCGAGCTCAGATCATCATGGTATCTAACAAAAAACAGATAATCAATGTTTAGATTATCTTACCTCGGTATGTAACCATGATAATCTGACTTCGGTTTTAACTTTGATTATCTTATCTTTGTTGGTTACCATGATGATCTGACCTCTTGGTTACATACCAAGGTCAGATCGTCAAGGTTACATAACGAGGTCAGATCGTCAAGGTTACATAACGATGTTAGATCGTTAAGGTTACCAACAGAAATCATAGAATCAAGGTTATGAAAAGAGGTCAAATCGTCAAGGTTACCAACAGAATTAATGGATTCAAGGTTACGAACAGAGATCAGATCGTCAAGGTCACGAACAGAGGTCAGATCTTCAAGGTTATCAACAGAAATCAAGGAATCAAGGTTTCAAACTAAAATCATAAAATAAAGGTCACGAACAGAGGTCAGATCGTCAAGGTCACGAACAGAGGTCAGATAATCAAGGTTCCAACAGAAATCATGGAATCAAAGTTACGAACCAAGGTCAGGTCATCGAAGTTATAAACCGAGGTCAAATCGTCAAGGTCACAAACAGAAATCGGGAATATCAAGGCAATGAACCTAGGTCGGATCATCAAAGTTACGAACCGAAGTCGGATCATCAAGGTTACCAACATAAATCAGGGAATCAAGGACACAAACCGAAGTAAGATCATCATGGCTACCAACAGAGATCAGATCGTCAAGGTAACCAACAGAGAACTGATAATCAAACTTGATAACCGAGGTCAGGTCATCATGATTACAAACCGAGGTCAGATTATCAAGGTAACGAACCGAGGTCAGATCATCATGGTTACATACCGAGGTCAGATCGTCAAGATTACATACCAAAGTCAGATCATCATAGTTGCATACCGAGGTCAGATAATCATAGTTACATACCGAGGTCGGATCATCACGGTTCAATATCGAGGTCAGATCATCATGGTTACATACCGATGTCAGATCATCATAGTTACATACCATCATAGTTACATACCGAGGTCAGATCATCACGGTTACATATCGAGGTCAGATCATCATAGTTACATACCGAGGTCTGATCATCATAGTTACATACAGAGGTCAGATCATCATAATTATATACCGAGGTCAGATCATCACCGTTACATATCGAGGTCAGATCATCATGGTTACATACCGAGGTCAGATCTTCATAGTTACATACCATCATAGTTACATACCGAGGTCAGATCATCACGGTTACATATCGAGGTCAGATCATCATAGTTACATACAGAGGTCAGATCATCATAGTTACATACAGAGGTCAGATCATCACGGTTACATACCGAGGTCAGATCATCATGGTTACATACAGAGGTCAGATCATCACGGTTACATATCGAGGTCAGATCATCATGGTTACATACCGAGGTCAGATCATCATAGTTACATACCGAGGTCAGATCATCACGGTTACATACTGGGGTCAGACCATCAAGGTTACATACCAAGGTCAGATCAACAAGGTTTCGAACCGAGGTCAGGTAGTCATTGTAACATACGGAGGTCAGATCATTAAGTTTACATACCGAGGTCAGATCATCAAAGTTACGAACCAAGGTCAGATCATCAAGGTTATGAACAGAGGTCAGATCATCTGTTTGTTTGTTAGGGGCTTATCGACCATTATTGTCATTCAGGGCCAAACAAAAAAGTATTGGGCAACCATTTGAGTGATGAAAATTAAAACGTCGTATATCTTATAAAATCAACAGCAGGATAGGCTTAGAAGGTTAAAAGTACAAGGAGCTAAACCAACCAAGGTCCGATCATCCGGGTGACAGACAGAGATAAGATCGTTGTGACGTCAAGGTAACCAACATAGATCAGATTAATCATGGTTAAAACTAAGGTCGAATCACCAAGGTTACAAACCGAGGTCAGATCATCCCGGTTACAAGCCAAGGTCAGATCATCAAAGGTTCAGACTGAGGTCAGATCATGCAGGGTACAAATTGAGGCCAGATTATACATGTTATATCATAATGGCATGTCATCCAGATTAAACATTGAGGTTATTGATGGGACATTGGTTTGCTGGGAACATTATCTCGGTTTGTCACCTTGATGATCTATCTTCTGTAGCTTTGGAACATGAATTCCGACTGTAACCTTAACATGACCTCGGTTTGTAGTGGAAACATTACCCAAGTTTGTAACCTTAATGTGACCTCGGTTTGTAGTGGAAGCATTACCTCAGTTTGTAACCTTAATGTGACCTTGGTTTGTAGTGGAAGCATTACCTCAGTTTGTAACCTTGATGTGACCTTGGTTTGTAGCGGAAGCATGACCTCAGTTTGTAACCTTAATGTGACCTCGGTTTGTAGTGGAAGCATTACCTCAGTTTGTAACCTTAATGTGACCTAGGTTTGTAGTGGAAGCATTACCGCAGTTTGTAACCTTAATCTGACCTTGGTTTGTAGCAGAAGCATTACCTCAGTTTGTAACCTCAATTTGTAACCTTAATGTGACCTTGGTTTGTAGCGGAAGCATTACCTCAGTTTGTAACCTCAATTTGTAACATTAATGTGACCTTGGTTTGTAGCGGAAGCATTACCTCAGTTTGTAACCTCAGTTTGTAACCTTAATATGATCTTGCAATTGGTTACCGCTATGAAAACGTGACCTCAGTTTTTAACCTTATATGACTTCTGTTTGTAGCCTTGGAAAATTAACTTGCTTGTTACCTTAGTAATTTGATGTTGGTACAATGTAAATGTATGTAATTTTGGAAAATTATCTTGGTTTTTAACCTTGATGTTATGATGTTGGTTTGTAAGCTGGGAACATTACCTCAGTTCATAACCTAGATAACATGATTCCTTCAAACACCTGTATACTGTATTTATATGATACTTTATATTTACAGAACTTTTAAAGTGAGGTGTAATGAAGTCTCACCAACTATTTATGATCCATGGGAGATCTGTCAATGCAGTATTTTCTTTCTACCTTTCTAACAGTGATCAAGGGAAATAAGTGTCGAGCAAAGTTTACATGAACTGCACTTCCATTCATCAGACCATGCCAGCAACCAAAGTCTTGTCCAATTCTTTAAAATAAGTACCACAGATTTCTGACAGTAGTTTGGAACTTAGTTTATTTATAGTTAATACAGGTAAATGTCCAGAGATCTCAATGTGAGAGCTAAATATATGTATAACAGTTGTAGTTCAGTTTATTGTAACTGTTTCTCATCTATCACATGTTGTTCATCTGTCTACAGATGATAAAATGAAAGACTGTTCAAAACAAAAAAGGGGAAAATGTTATATATGATATTTAAGTCTTCTATAGTAAACAGCAGTATATTGCATTTGTTATTAAAAAGAAAATGATCTTATATATAAAGTAATAAAGAAAACCTGTATATGTATTTTTTCTGTCTCATAGTGAAATGTTTTGACCTCATATCTATAAATCAATGCCAATTGTACATTACAGTTGCTGATACACTTGTACTTTCTTTTGTCTTTAATTTTTAAAGGTTTAATACCTGTTTGTTCTTTAATGATGTTGTACCATTATCAAACAAAAAACAAAACAATTATTTCAATATGTCATGTATACAAAAAATCTATTAAAAATCTGGATATTAATACAATTTTTGAATTGTACAAAATTTTAATTACTTCATCATTTGTATCATTACCTGGTACTACAAAAGTAACTCCTTGGTTGTTTCAACCCTTAATGTAATAGATTTGGTTGGTTTGGTTTGGTTTGTTTGTGTTTTACGTCCTATTAACAGCTATGGTCATTTAAGGACGTGCCAGGTTTTGATGGTGGAGGAAAGCCACCGACCAACGGCCAGTACCTGGCGACTGCCCCACGTAGGTCTTGAACCCGCAACCCAGTGGTGGAGGGCTAGTGGTAGCAGAATGTCAGATGCCTTAACCACTTGGCCAACACGGCCCCAAAAAGATTTATCAGTTTGTATATATATAATATCAAAGGTTTACTTTTTACACAGACAATGTACGTTGTAAACCTGTCACAATGTTTCAAGACCGACTGGTGCCTTTGTCAACTTATGACTGAGTGAGCAATTTGTATTGTTTACCTGTACAATGATGTGACAAAATTACATATTTCATATGTCACTCAACCCAGGACGTATCGAACAGCATATACACACTGCATCGAATAGAACAAGAGTTTGCTTCCTATTTTAATGTCTTGATGGTACCATAATGGGGAGATCAGCAAGTCTTCAGATTTCATTTTTTTCTTTAACTCTGTCATCTTTTGTTTTTTCTGTATATGCTACTCCAGATTTAATATGATAAAGTTCAATAGAACTGATCTATGACTCCATGATTGAAAATGTATTTCAATTCACTTTTATTTATGGATTTGATAATCTTTTTACCTAAATAGTGTTTTAGATAATCAACAAGTTTCTGTAAGTCTAACATTTCAGTCCTCCACCATTTTATTCTTCAATCAAGGTATTTCTTTTCACCTTTTTAAATAGATAGGTTGCTAGAAAAAAATACAGCAAAACTATTTTAATGAAATATTTTCAAAGTTGGGTAAAGCCATTTACAGGTGAATAATATTTGGAATATTTCAGGTTTTTTTTTATAATACTGTAGTTCATTTGTTAATCTACCTATTGGTGTGAGCACCCTCTCTGATCTAACTTAAATAATTACATATTTTCATATCTAATAATACCTAAATGACCAATATGTTATCTTCCTAAAAGTAGAGCATTTCTAATGTTAAACATATGACTGCCAAGAAATGAGGACTGTAACCACAGGAACACTTTGTATAGTCCAAGTTTACATAGTTGCCATTGACAACCAAGTTTGACCTTGAAAGTTTCAAGATAAGACTGACAATTCTTAAGTCTGTCTGCTGCTACGGCACGAACACAGCAGCGCGACATGTTTATAAAGGACGTAGCATTAGCGCGCGTTTGAAGAGAGGTTTCTATTCCCCGCAGTACGTCATTGGTCTTCAAGATAAGAAGCAATTGTCGAGGAATCCGGTTCAGAAGGTCAGATATTTGTACCAGGAATTCTGCAGCGTTGGCTTTGATCTCATCCGTCTGTAAAAGCATAGATTCATTGATATGAAACAGTATTGTAAGATCTTATGAAATGAACAACATTATTTAACATTCTCTTTCATCCTTACCTCACAATTCGACATATCTGTTACAATAGTGAAACATCCTTAGTTTGGATACTTTGATTCCAATGTCTTAAATTAAAGTTAAAACTATGCACAAAATGTAAAAAGCATCATTGTTTTAAATTAGGATTTTTTTCACAAACATTATTAGCCTACAGAATTGCAATAGCTGAAAAATTGTCTAGAATTTTGACACATTACAACAGCAACGAATTTTTTTCTAATCATCAATTCGATTAAATAACTAATTAACTATCAAAACGTGTTTATACAATTACTGGCAAACTAGAAACAAACATTTCATAATACACTTTTCAAACTTGGCCAATCTATCATCAAACCATAAAGGGGAAACCTACCTCTTCCTCTGTTACTTTTCTGTTTCTCATTCCAGAGGTTATAGAACTCCAAGATCTAGCTGCTAACATGCAAGCAAATAATCCATAAAAATCTCCAGCATTGAGCGCAGTGGCATGTTCTTTAATTCCTTCTACATCTGCATTAATCATGGCCATCCACATCTTACAGTAGTGTAGACGGAAATCGTCAGTCAGGGACTATAAAACAGCGAAAAAGTTCTAAAATTAGTATAGATCATCAGCCATTGAATACAAACTGACAGTGACACACATCTTATAGAAGTGCAGACTGGCATCATCAGTCAGGGACTACAAACAGACAGGGACACACATCTTACAGTAGCGTAGGCTGACATCATCAGTCAGGGACTACAAACAGACAGAGACACACATCTTACAGTAGTATAGATTGACATTATCAGTCAGGGACTACAAACAGACAAGGACACACATCTTACAGTAGTGTAGACAGACATCATCAGTCAGTGACTACAAACAGACAAGGACACACATCTTACAGTAGTGTAGACAGACATCATCAGTCAGGGACTACAAACAGACAGGTACACACATCTTACAGTAGTGTAGACAGACATCATCAGTCCGGGACTACAAACAGACAGTGACACACATCTTACAGTAGTATAGACTGACATCATCAGTCAGAGACTACAAACAGACAGGGACACACATCTTACAGTAGTATAGACTGACATCATCAGTCAGAGACTACCAACAGACAGGGACACACATATTACAGTAGTATAGACAGACACCATCAGTCAGGGACTACAAACAGACAGGGACACACATCTTACAGTAGTGTAGACAGACATCATCAGTCCGGGACTACAAACAGACAGTGACACACATCTTACAGTAGTGTAAACTGACATCATCAGTCAGGGACTACAAACAGACAGGTACACACATCTTACAGTAGTATAGACAGACATCATCAGTCAGGGACTACAAACAGACAGAGACACACATCGTACAGTAGTATAGATTGACATTATCAGTCAGGGACTACAAACAGACAAGGACACACATCTTACAGTAGTGTAGACAGACATCATCAGTCAGTGACTACAAACAGACAGTGACACACATCTTACAGTAGTGTAAACTGACATCATCAGTCAGGGACTACAAACAGACAGTGACACACATTTTACAGTAGTGTAGACTGACATCATCAGTCAGGGACTACAAACTGACAGTGACACATATCTTACAGAAGTGTGGACAGACATCATCAGTCAGAGACTACAAACAGAATGTGACACACATCTTACAGTATTATAGACTGACATCATCAGTCAGGGACTACAAACAGACAGTGACACACATCTTACAGAAGTGTGGGAAGAAGTCATCAGTCAGGGACTATAACCAACAATCAGTCAGGGACTACAAACAGACAGGGAAACACATCTTACAGTAGTATAGACTGACATCATCAGTCAGAGAGTACAAACAGACAGGGACACACATCATACAGTAGTGTAGACAGACATCATCAGTCAGGGACTACAAACAGACAGTGACACACATCTTACAGAAGTGTGGGAAGAAGTCATCAGTCAGGGACTATAACCAACAGTGTCATCATCAGTTGATTGCAGTGTGACCCAAAGTCAAAATTTATTATTCCATTATTCATGTCTTACGTATATTTTTTGATTCAGAGAACACATCATAAAGAGGTCAACTCTGCACAAATTAATAACAAGAGCAATGCAAGTGGAAGAATGATATGGCTGCCAGACCATCAGAAGGGGATTGATATATTGGAAGCAGGTAGTGACATATGATATAAATTTGTTTACTGCCACTGTTCTGTTGGTGACTGTGACCTTGCCATTCATTGACTGTGTTTATGGCGCAAGCTATTTTGTGTTACAGAATTATTGTACACTTTTGTGGTCAATGTTGCTATTACTAAAACTAGAACCTTGGCTTTGAGGTAGGAGTCCTGAACTGCAATTTGCACCCAGATATTATGGCATAATATACATAATATATAGAAAAGTATTGAGTTGAGAGATTTTCAGATTAATTCAATTACAAAATGAATAATAGTCAAACAACTTTTTGTTGAATATGAATGCTGAAATTACAAGGAGTAGGTGTGAAGTTTTGAACTAACTGATTTTCACAAGTAATAACAAATCTCATTAAAGTTTAACTAGAACACTGACAGGTCAGTAAGGGCCCCGTCTTGTGGCAATATATCCCCCATAATCATCAAGAATGACGCGTTGTTTAATTCCCACAAACATTGCTTCAAAGTGTCATAATGAAATATTCACCAGCAAAAAATTACTAAATTTTACCTTGACCTTTGACCGAGTGACCTTGACCTTAAGTCAGTTGACTCTTTCTTAAATTCCAACCAAATTTGCTTCACAAAGTCATAACAAAATGTTCATCAGGGAAAAGATACAAAATTTAACCTTCACCTTTGATCCAGTGACCTTGACCTTTGGTCAATTGACCCCTTGTTCAATTCTGAGCAACATTGCTTCAAAGTGCCATACCAAAATGTTCACAAGTGAAAAGATACAAAACTGAACCGTGACCTTTGAATCTAATGACCTTAACCTTTGACCTCAACTTTTTACCTCAGTGTGTCTCTTTGTTTAATTCCGAACAACTTTGCATCATGTCATAAAATGCTTATTAGTAAAAGGCTACAAAATTTGACCTGGACCCCTGACCCGATGACCTTGACCTTTGGTCAGTTGACTCCTTGTTTAATTCTGAGCATCATTGCTTCAAAGTGTCATACCAAAATGTTCACCAGTGAAAAGATACAAAATGTAACCTTGACCTTTGACCCAATGACCTTGACATTTGGTCAGGTTGACTCCTTGTTTAATTCTGATCAACTTTGCTTCATCATGTCATAACAAAATGTTCATCAGTGAAAAGATGCAAAATTTGACCTTGACATTTAAACCTAATGACCTTGACCTTTGACCTTGACTTTTTACTTTAAGGTGTATTTTTGTGAACTGAACATCTTGACCAAGTTTCATGTACATCTGTCAATAAATACCAAAGTTATCAGCCAGGAACAAAAATTTGTGGACGGACAGACAGACAGACAGAGTGATTACTATAGGGCACCCGTATCTCCGATACGGGGCCCTAATTACATGAACACCAATGACATGTTATTGCTAGCAACAGCAACCTTGACCTTGGGTGTAGAATCCTGAAACACGAACTGATTCAAACTATCTTATTACTTTAGAATATGTGTATCATGTTGGTATTTGAAGTTGGAACGTGACAACAAAACCTGGCACATATGTTAAACATGTTTGGTTTTTGAATTACCATACTAAATTTGAAAGAAATTAAACAAATAATAAAAAAGTTCTTGCATTTTCGACGGAGTAATCGTGTAAACAAGCAAAAGTTAACGACAAAAATGAAGTACAGTATTGCTATGTCAAGTGTGATACGCCAAAATGCTGAAAGTTGAAACTCGACAGAAAAACATGTAATATATGTTGAACATTATTGCTTCTAGCATTACTATGCCAAATTTGAAAGGAATTGATTAAAAAATAAAAGGTCTTGCATTTACTACACAATGCCCTTATTTGGCAATGAAAGGGGCATAACTCATAACTTCTGAAATGTGAACTCTTTCAAGCTATATTGGTATGCAATATCTGTACCAAGTTTCATCAAGATATGTTAACCAGAAACCTGACAGGTCAGCAAGGGCCCTGCCATGTGCATGATCAACTCCTCCCCAAGTCTCTTTTTATCTTGACCTTGAAAGCTTATTAGACCGTTTTTTCCCATCTCCATTTCACAGTGCATCACCATGTCAAATTTCAAAAAAGATTAGACTTTTAGATACCCAGATTAAGGATGTACCCCTCACGGTCAATTTTTAGAAACATTGAACTTGACCTTGACTTTAGAAATTGGAAATGTGGACAGACAATCAGACAGAGGGATAACTGATGATAACTTTAGGGCACCCGTCATTCCAATGCAGGGCCCTTTATCACAGATATCAAGAAAATGCAAGTTTTGTGATATTACAAAGTTTACTTAACAGTGAATAACTGATGAAGCTTTCACTGCTACACATGGTATTTATGAGATGACAACAACACATACCTGGTAAAGACCATGATCAAGGAGGATGATATCCACCCCTGCTTTGGTGTTCCTGACAAGGACATTACCCGGATGCGGATCACAGTGGACGTAGCCCTGTACAAAGATCATCTCACTGTACAGTTTTCCCAGCTTCCTCGACACCTGTCACAGAATATCCTTTTTATTGCAATTTAAATAACTAGAAACAAAACCAACCTTAAATTGTTTGATATTCAACAGACAGTGTTTCCATTATTTCAATGTTTTCCAAGAATGATTCAGATTACACCATGCATACATATTATCAATATGAAATAGCGGCACTTTCGGTTTCTTCATTACAAGTTATTTATTTTCTAGGAAAGTGATGGAAAACATTCATGGTTTCTATTAGACATATAGTTTCCATCTGCAACTACTGCCACTACCATTGAGTATTCCAAAGTCTTGCTTATTTCTACAAGTTTATATCTCTTATAACATCACCAAAGCTATTTCCTCTTATATTTGTTCTGTCATCTACAGATATGATAGGTAGAGTTAAATCTGAACACTTGCAGGATTTTATTGAAGTATCAAAGTAAGTAAAAAGGCTAAGTGTCAAACCTAAACTATGTGAGGCAATATATTGATATTGTCAAATTGCTGACCACCTACTGTTTGAATCGTATTCTGTTTTTCATGACGATCTGAAGTCATATTTGAAATATTCCAAAAGCATGTGATATGGTAACTTCATTATGGATCTTTCTCTTTGGAACAGTTCTCCTGGGAAGGTATAGTGCCAAGCTTCATAGAGTAATAAAAGTATTAAAGAATTATGGGTAAAATTGAAGCATTTTTACCTGTGATCGTACATGCTTTACTTGCCTCATTGACAGATATACCATGACTTTCCATGTACTCGCGATCATCCACTTTGCCACCCTCAAAATACTCCATGGTCAGCACCCGTTCTGATGACAAGTTCCACAGAATTTTTGGTACCTGTTTGTGAAAACATCAACTGAGTAACTTATAATACATGTATGTCAAATAACCTCCTAAACTTCAAACTTTTATTTTGGTCATGTTAAGTAATTCATGATATTTTCTAAGTTTTGAAATTATCTGAAAAAAAGTGTTTTCTGAAACATCATTTTCAAGAGATAAAGATTGGGATTAATGTAAAATATACCAAAGATTCCATTTGAACAGATTTTTAACTCATCAAACTTACCAGGTAAACATTTGACTCAAAACAACTATTTTATTACTTTTTATCAAGTCAAGGATGGAATTTTTTATGAGTAACAAAACCCTAACCTTTAAAAAACTGAAATGCTTGTACTGTTTGGCAACTGTTTCACAATTTGCTCCTTCTTTGAGAAAGTCCAATTCTAAAGGTAGATTTTTTCTCGTTTCCTCAGCCAGCCACAAGTACTGGAATCCTGGAAACATTACGGCTAGTCCTCGCACAAGTAGCTGAAAGCAAAATTACAATACATAACTTTATGGCAAGGCATCAAACAATGTGTACATAAAGCTGAAAGAAAGCCTTATAATTTGCATTGATTGCATTATTTAGTGTTTGACTTGTTATTGCGAAAGAAGCATGTAATGAATGTACTCTTGATAAGAAATCATTTTCTTTGTCTACAGATCTCTAAAACCTTTAGCTCCAAAAATTACACTTCAGCTCACATTAGTTTCTCTTAAAAAAAGATGATTATAAAAAAGGCCAAATTCATTACTTTCTTTATTTTTGCAATTATTTCAGGCATTTTTGGAATTTATCGACTTCCTAAATGTGAAAACTGCAACCTTAGCATCTAAAGTTTCAAAGAGAAATTAAATTTTAAACTGCTAAATATAGCATATCTACAGTTATCGATACTGGTCTAGTTAGTTTCTTAAAATAAAGTTTCCAAGGGAGTTTTATCAGTTATGATACTCTTATGACAGCCAAAGTCGAAAGATATATTGCGCGTCAAGGTTAAATACAATTTTTTTCAAGAAAAAATATATACCTAGGTATCCACTTTAGAAACTCCATATTAAAGAACATGATATAGCATGAGCTAAATCAAAGAGAGTATCTTTTAATCAACCCTGAAATGAATCACAAACTGACCTCCATAGTTTTGATGTCCACATATGACCTGGCCCTGACCTTGGGATGCTGAATTTTGACTGCCACCACTTGGCCATCTTTAAGGGTGGCTTTGTGGACCTGGGCAAGTGATGCTGCTCCAATGGGTTCAGAATCAAAGTCTATAAACAGCTCCCCTATCTACTTACAAAAAAAACAGAGTTATATGTGATAATTCAGATTATTTCCAGGAATTCTAGGAATTTCCACTTTCCTGGAGTTGGAAATATTTGATATCGCATAACTGAATTTCTAAACAACTTGCCTATTTTGAACAATTTTTCAAAAAGAAACAGGTGCTTCTCAAAGCCATGTTTGTTACAAGTCGTCTTTAAGAATAATTTTTCAATCTTACAAAAACATTAAAGTATTTTAATTGCTAATCAAATTCCATTGCTAATTGACATTTAAAATTCAAACTAAAAAAAGTGTATCGTTAGATAAATTTCAAGCAGAAGTGTTGGCTGCAATCATTCTGCCAATTTTGATGTTACAAAGCTCTAAATTATATCATAAAAATTAAACAGTACCGTATTGCCCAAGTCCTCTTCTACCACTCTCTGGAGATCAGCCAGTTTTGACTGTGGAGCTTGGTTGTGTAAGATTTTCATTGAGCTGACATACTCTTCAGGGAGCAGATAGTCAAGTGTGCCTACATGCTGGCCTACCTTGATAAACACACCACCATTCTTACAGACCATGTCCCGCAATCTGAGAGCAGATCGCAAATGTATCTAGAAATGAAGATAAGTGTAATTATTAAATTCTAACTGGATCATTCAAGAAGAATTGCAGGGACTTAAACTTTGAAACCTTGTTGCAACCTTTATTTTGACATGAATTATATTCAAAATATCTATGGTTTAGGTCTATGGCTCACACAAGCATTAATTGCAGCTTTAGACTTTAAAATAGGTCTAGGAGATATACAATGGTTATGAATTGACCCTTACTGTCATCTTGATGGTAATAATCTGTTGTTGTATGTGATTTACTGTTTTTTCGTAATACTGAAGTTTATGCAGATTCAATTAAAAAGGTACTAAGCATTTTGGTAGTTGTAGTCTAGATGCAATGATAATTTAACATGACCTTGATTTTGAGACAATGTACTTGTGTTTGATAATTTTTAAACATGACATACATATGCAACATATGTCTTGTAATTACACTCATCATATATATACCTATAACGTTTTATCAAACAATAATTAGTGGGTCAGTATTTATGATCTGGACAAAATTCAAACAGAAGGACAGACAACATAATGACTCCTACTGTATATACATCTACCTTAACTCTTTGGTTGAGAGATATAATAAACAATTTATAGAATAAGACAAACTTTTTCTTTTTTAATTAAATAGTTCATGATTTTTTTCTTAAATTTGTGAAATCTTGGTCTGGTCCTATCTCACCTGTGACAACAATTCATGGTACGCTGGAGAGGACCTGTCTTGATTCCGTAAGCTTAGTTTATAATCTACAGCTATTCGCATTGCCTGCGAATAAAACAATTACATGTACACAATTTCTTTCTTTTAAAGGTTGATTTTTATACTGAGATATACGAGTTGTAAAATTAAACACAAGCCTAACTGTAAGTACTTTTAAAGTTTAACAGTACATGTGAAGTTACCAGATTATCTCAGCTCAGTTGGGTACAACGCTTGACGAGAATTTGGGGGTCCAATGTTCAATCTCGCTCTGGCCCCATTGTATTAGTCTTCTCCTGTTACACATGTATGAATAATCCAACAGAATATGTGATAGTCCTAAGCATATTAATATAACAATAAATTGTTCTGAATAAATTGTTCTGAATAAATTGCCTGTCAATCAATAATGCAGTAATATTGAGATTCTTGACACATTAATGTACTTCATATACTGTACTATATATATGTAATAAGAGCACTTTTCTAAGTCTTTGCCTCCCAAGGCAACACCATCTTTCCAACTCCACTTGCCAAGCTTACACACCAAATGCTTCAAGCGTTTGACAAGGGTTGGCCATAGGTTCCAAAATATACCGGTGATCTGATAGGAGCAGAAAAATGCACAGCCCGACCTGGATTCGAACCTGGGACTCTCTGAACTCTAGACGGAAGCTCTACCAGTGGAGCTACCTGGTCACCGAGGAATTACTCAATCCAGTTCGAAAACTGTATACCTTAAATTGGTACATAAATACTCACCACATAAGCAGCTCGGCCAAACCTGACCACACCTATACTGGTCAGCTCCCAGTCATTTTTCCAAAGGTAGAATGTGGAACCTCCAATCCCACTGCCAAGAACGCTATACTTCAAGACTCGCTTAAGTAAATGTTGACTCATCTTTGACTTTGACAATCTGTAAATTACAAAAGGTTGTAGTCTCGAAGTTCTAACTACTACTGAAAATAAAAATGTTCAGGTAAAAGGCATTACAAGTAAACAAGTGGTATAAACAAACATAAGACATACACAATTTTACAGACTAGATTATATCACAGTAGGTAGTACTAGTAGTCACAGTAAGTTTAACGAACAGTTGGCCTTTTACCTTGGATAGCCCATTAAAGTTAAAATAAAACTTATTTCCAAATGGGGTCCATAAAAGAGCATGTCCGAGTTCCAGTTAAGACAAATTTAATAATTAATATTTGCACATGTATTTATAAATATTTTAGATATCACAGTTAATCAAAACAATAATGAACAATCTAATAAAAATTACATTGGTTCTAGTAGAATAAAAAAATCATTTTTGTGATTGTCCTTTGCAGTTTCCATAAAATACTTTTTCACGTGAGTTTAAAAGTACTTTTCTTTGAAATTTGTTTTATATTGCCAGGAAGCATATTCCAGTCATTCACACCATTATAATAAAAAGCATCTACCCCTTTGATAGCAGGAATATAAAAATCAAATTGAAGCTTTACTTGTAAAATCACGGTTCACTGGACACTTTCCATGAAAAATATTAAAAACATTATTCAGTCTTAACTGTCTAACTCGGTCACAAATAATGAATGAAGTTAAAATTAAAATATAATTCTGGGTATAGTTTAATACAGTACCCTTATAAACAAAATATAGGCATTTACGTCACTCGTACTGGCCTTAAAAAAAAACAGACAAAATTCCTCCTCTCTGAAGCTTTTGTCGTCTGCTAACGTTATGCTACACAATGTATTTTGTTCTACATCTGATACACAGTTGGCATACTGCTGACGTGTTATTAATATACGATCTGATCCTCATGTGTGAAGCCAGCCTGATTGGTCTTGTCATATGGCTGCTCGATTGTGTAAAGGAACACAAGTGCTTATGTAAGTTAACGAAATTGACGGGCGAAGTAAAGTTCAATGTCGTTCCTAAGCTTGTAATTGTAAATCCCTCGTATCAAGCGTTTGCGTGTAGGTGTATATAATTTTCTTTCAGTTTCGCGATAAGCACATCAACCCGGATTTCTTCTGTTTTAAAGTGATCTATTAAAAACATGCATATACTATTTTGTAACGAAATGAATAAAAATATTTCGGGTCAATATTTTCTTATTTACCTGACCAAGTTGAAAGACTGACATTTATATTTTTTAGGCAAATGTATTCATTAACAAATTGTGTACGTGTGTTTTTATGATGATTCTTACTGTATGTTCTACTTACAATATAAGTAATGTTCCCAAGACAAAATTATATAGTTATTATCTAAACTTGATAAATTTACTGTCTGTTACGTTCGCGTCACGGTTTACATTCCGGATGTTTTTGTACTTGTTCGTCGTTTCAACGTTTAGTTGAAAAATCAACATGGCGCTGAAACTATCGGAGTATGTATTTAGATTACTGATATAAACACGTAAAGTTATCACCTTATGGACCACCCGATTATTTGCATTTATACATAACACGATAAATAATCACAGGTGTTTTTGAATTTTATGTTCCAAACGTTACAAAAAACAGGATGTTAGAATGGTAACACGGAAATCGGCTCATAAACCGAAGCCATGGCACAAGCCTGACAAGGTCTCAGTCTGTACTACACGTAGAGTGTAACATCCTTTTCGATGCTGTTTTTTCTTTATTTATTTACGTGGTTTTGAGAACTGTTTAATACTTGTTGGGGATCGCTGTCTTTAAACATGAGGAATTTAGACATCGCATGATCCCCTTTTCCAGATCTGTAATGTTCCATTTTTATATACCAAGCCTTGCAAAGAACTGAACACAATTTTATTTCGACGGGTCTGTTTCCGCTCTTATTGTTCCTAGCTGAGTTAATCACTAGCTGTTGATGGTATTTTGAATCCAAAAGTAAATTAATATACATCTATGAGTGTCACTTATAAAATAATTTATTTTGTACAGTATACTGTATAGTATATATGAAACAATGACTGTAAATTAATATAATACTGTAGTTCCAGATTTTTAGGACATTCTAATTTCTGTCTTATTTTGACACCCACACTTTCAGAATGAATTAATTATATCCTACTAAAGGGGCTCGACAGCATTTTGAAAATATATTTTTTGTTCAGAACTCATTTGTACATAAACCTTTAAAAATTACTGGTTTATTGAAATTGCTATTAGCAATATACCTGTCTAAGGAAATTGAAAATATATATCTGTGACTAGTAAAGCATAACTTCCTTTAGCGTTTGTGATCAACTGCTCTCCAGATATTTACATCAGCACCTACAGTAGACTTCTACACATGTGCAGGCAGAGACAATAAACCTCTTCAGCTTGTTGCTGATCATCAGGTCATAGATGTTTTGGAATAGTTATATCTCCCTCATTATGGCACAAATACATAGACATGCAACCATATCCCATTGTTGAACTAGACAGATCATTACTACTAAATTGTGTAAGAAGGAATTCGAAGTAACCATGCAGCTGGCTATCAACTGATGTTTCAAGCTCCCTCTCTATCATTTCAGAATTTTGCCTGCACCAAGTCAGCGATATGACCGAGAAGATGATGACCGACAGTACAGAGCTACTTCAGGGGTAACCTTTTAGATTGATGATTATTAGTGTCATGAATATTCTCATGTATCAGTTATTTCCTTATAATTGAAATAAAGTAATTTGATCCAGTGCAGTTTTGCAAAGTTGGTATAGTTTTGTACTAATTTCGATGTCCGTGTCCTAGATATAAAAACAATAAAATTGATTGTAAAATTGTATATGAATTATGTTTATCTCACTTTCAATGATATTGAAACAGCATCCAATGTAAACACATGCAGTAAACAGGTACTAGTAAAAACTATTGGCATAGATACCATTGATGTCCTATAAATGTCATACGTACATTCACTAGCTTTTCGGGGGGGGGGGTCTTAAACTTTATTGCTTGTAATTTCAAGTACAGTACATGCATGTATATACATGTACAATTTTACCATCCTCAGATTACTGCCATAACAAGTAAATGGACTGCTCCACCATATGGACACAGAAAGGGCTGGGTGCCACGCTCACAGGATGTAAGTTTATGAAATCAGTAACATCATTAAAATCAAATGATAAAGGTGTGACATTATCAGGGCAGCAACTATATATATCACGATACATGGAGTAACAGAGAAGCAAAGCAAAAAGATATGTTGCAATTTTTTCATGGTAATATTACAAATTGAAATATATAGACTTGGTCTTATATATATGGGCATGGCTTATAACAGTGTCATACATTTTATGTCTTTTGGCATGCATGACGAGCTGAAGCTTTCACTCACCATGTTGGACCAGATATGAGTTAACTAAGTTTCCTATTATGTGACACTAAGTGTACGATTCAATGATAAGTCCATTAATAATAGAAAAGGTCAACAACATCTATATCTCTTAGACCTATTGTCTAGGATGTATAAACAACACCTATATCTCATAGACCTATTGTCTAGGATGTGAAAACAACATCTATATCTCATAGACCTACTGTCTAGGATGTGTAAACAACATCTAATCATATCTCTTAGACCTAATGTCTAGGATGTGTAAACAACATCTATATCTCATAGACCTATTGTCTAGGATGTGTAAACAACACCTATATCTCATAGACCTAATGTCTAGGATGTGTAAACAACATCTATATCTCACAGACCTAATGTCTAGTATGTGTAAACAACATCTATATCTCACAGACCTATTGTCTAGTATGTGTAAACAACACCTATATCTCATAGACTTAATGTCTAGGATGTGTAAACAACACCTATATCTCATAGACCTAATGTCTAGGATGTGTAAACAACATCTATATCTCATAGACCTTATGTCTAGGATGTGTAAACTATATTCTAAAACTAAATCACATCAAATTTAGGGTAAAGAAAAAAGCAATGATATGATATGTGTAGTGTATTACCGTGTATTAAATGAGTTTGAAGACAGTTAAATAAAAGCAGATCTTGAATACAATATCTAAATTATATCACATTAGAATAATACAATTTATTTTCTCAATAGCACAACCTGTATATTCTATTCTGATGGTAATGTGCACCCATTTGGTGGACGTAATACATCTATAACAAGAAACATAAAATTTCAGTTACGCAGTCATCGACAGGTACTTGAGTCAGTAACTGATTTTGATATAATTTGATGTACATGTTAGAACATAAGATAAAGAATTTCACAGGAAGATTTCTACTCTTTTAATTAAGGACTTTGGAGATGGGGGTGCCTTCCCAGAGATTGCTGTGGCTCAATACCCCCTGGAGATGGGACTAAAGAAGAGCTCTTCTAATGCTTTACCCACACAACTTGACCCTCAGGGTAAAATCAAGTATGATGCCATCGCAAAATACGGACACGGCAGAGACAAGGTGAGAAGACTTGATTTACTGTTCTATCTGATGTGTTCTTATCAACATTTAATAGGAAAAAAAGAAGTATGTATATTGAGGCTTGCCCTGCCTGGAGGGAAGTCAATGGATCCAGGATCGAACCATACAGTTGGTTGACAAACAAAATGATCATCTATAACATATTATGACGTCATATAACACTTCAGTATGAAAATCATTTTGAAATCAGAATGTATCATGACTACTATCATGGTTCATGTTGAGACCATTCCCTTATCATCACAAAGAAACCTTAGGGAACAATTTCATATTTCCATATTCTTTTTCTCTACAATGTCAATATGACTGTGGACCCAACTCTGTTGGTTATGGTATAATGTACTTTAAATTAATTTCATATATAAGACAAATTGGTGTAATATTTCTTTTGCAGGTTGTCCATTCCAAGTTCCAGGACCTGGTCCCAAAACAAATGGATCAGGACGATCCAGAATTGGAGAAACCAAATGACGATTCAATTAGGGAAACAACAGAGAAAACAAGACAAGCTCTTGAGAGACTTGTGTCCACAAAGATATCTGCTGCTCTACCTGTCAGGGCTGCAGAAAAACAGGCACCTGCGCAATATATCAGGTTAGACTTTTTACTGGTTAAGGTGAATTGAAATCTAAACAGCACATGTGTAGCTCAAGGTGAATTGAAATTTAAACAGCACATGTGTAGCTCTGATTAGAATAAGCTGTGCTGTACATACAAACAAAATTGATCTTCATGACATGACAGAATGGAATTTTTCTAATTTATAGAAGAAGAAGAAAGCAGCGTTCATAAACTGATCACCATATTATTTTTGTTTAAAGTTATTTCTTACTCATAAACATTGTATATCATTGCTTTTCTTGAACATGAGTTTTATGTTTTATAGATATATCCCATCACAACAAGGCGTAGCCTTTACCTCTGGGGCCAAACAGAATTATTAGAATAGTGTTTGTAACATGTGTTTTATGTTTTATAGATATACCCCATCACAACAAGGCGTAGCCTTTAACTCCGGGGCCAAACAGAATCATTAGAATAGTGTATGTAACATGTGGTTTATGCTTTATAGTTTTATAGATATACCCCATCAAACCAAGGCGTAGCCTTTAACTCCGGGGCCAAACAGAATCATTAGAATAGTGTATGTAACATGTGTTTTATGCTTTATAGTTTTATAGATATACCCCATCAAAACAAGGCGTAGCCTTTAACTCCGGGGCCAAACAGAATCATTAGAATGGTGGATGTAACATGTGTTTTATGTTTTATAGATATCCCCCATCACAACAAGGCGTAGCCTTTATCTCCGGGGCCAAACAGAATCATTAGAATAGTGTTTGTAACATGTGTTTTATGTTTTATAGATATACCCCATCACAACAGGGCGTAGCCTTTAACTCCGGGGCCAAACAGAATCATTAGAATACTGTTTGTAACATGTGTTTTATGTTTTATAGATATACCCCATCACAACAGGGCGTAGCCTTTAACTCCGGGGCCAAACAGAATCATTAGAATACTGTTTGTAACATGTGTTTTATGTTTTATAGATATACCCCATCACAACAAGGCGTAGCCTTTAACTCCGGGGCCAAACAGAGAATCATTAGAATGGTGGATGTAACATGTGTTTTATGTTTTATAGATATACCCCATCACAACAGGGTGTAGCCTTTAACTCCTGGGCCAAACAGGGAATCATTAGAATGGTGGATGTAACATGTGTTTTATGTTTTATAGATATACCCCATCACAACAGGGTGTAGCCTTTAGCTCCGGGGCCAAACAGAGAATCATTAGAATGGTGGATGTGACATGTGTTTTATGTTTTATAGATATACCCCATCACAACAGGGTGTAGCCTTAACTCCGGGGCCAAACAGAGAATCATTAGAATGGTGGATGTGACATGTGTTTTATGTTTTATAGATATACCCCATCACAACAAGGCGTAGCCTTTAACTGCGGGGCCAAACAGAGAATCATTAGAATGGTGGATGTGACATGTGTTTTATGTTTTATAGATATACCCCATCACAACAGGGTGTAGCCTTTAGCTCCGGGGCCAAACAGAGAATCATTAGAATGGGGGATGAAACATGTGTTTTATGTTTTATAGATATACCCCATCACAACAGGGCGTAGCCTTTAACTCCGGGGCCAAACAGAGAGTCATTAGAATGGTGGATGTAACATGTGTTTTATGCTTTATAGATATACCCCATCACAACAGGGTGTAGCCTTTAGCTCCGGGGCCAAACAGAGAATCATTAGAATGGGGGATGAAACATGTGTTTTATGTTTTATAGATATACCCCATCACAACAGGGGGTAGCCTTTAACTCCGGGGCCAAACAGAGAATCATTAGAATGGGGGATGAAACATGTGTTTTATGTTTTATAGATATACCCGATCACAACAGGGTGTAGCCTTTAACTCCGGGGCCAAACAGAGAATCATTAGAATGGTGGATGCGCAGAAAGATCCTATGGAACCACCGAAATTCAAGTAAGACATTTTCAAATTAAAGTCGTTGTTTTATTGCAATCAACGAGTGATCTCTGTTTTTCCAAATAGTTTATGTAATTTATTTGTATAGAATTCAGATTGATTATTTGGATTGATAATATCTTTCCTTCCATAACCACTATAAGTTTCCTCACTCCCAACTCCTTTGATAAACCTGCTGGGAGTTTGTAAACATTTTTGGTTCATTAAGTGATGTCAAGTATCAATGTTCTGCGATGTCATCTTCTACTGTGACCTCAAGTCAAAGTTAATGATCGTTTCCCTGATCAGAAACAGGAATAATGTATTCCGAAGAGAAACAAACTTGTGATGGTTGGTTATCATGTTTATCTCACTATCATTGGTTGATATTCAAATTTAAAGACATTCAGTAAACAATTTGAAACTTAACTAACTTGAGTTAGATAAATGGGACAATCAACCGTCAATCATTGGGTTGAACCTCTCAATATTTAATTATTGTTTTAGAGAAAGTAAAATGGTATATTTGTAAAAACAAAATATTTATAACATTATTATATATTTTTTGTTAGAATGCTAGGTTTGTGAAAACAAGTTATTTGAAATGAGGAACCACAGTAGGAAAGGTTAATCTACTTGAAAGATGCTTCCATTCAGATTTATTTCTAATACTTTCCAGAGTAAACAAGAAGATCCCTCGTGGCCCCCCTTCACCACCAGCTCCTGTGATGCATTCCCCAAACAGAAAGGTGAGATATACAATAATACCAGACTTTCTACCTCCATATTTTAAAACATTAAACATATTGCTTAAAATATTTTGAAACCCTATTTTTCTGTGTCCAGATTTCAGTGTTAAGTGAGGCTCACTCCTAAGATCCTACATGTTTAGCCTACATGGATGTTCAATTATGTAACACTAAAGCTTTATGATGTATGGCCTGTTATGGATGGAATGCTAGGTGCAGGAACACTTAATATCAGCTGAAAATTGAACTTGATAACTTGACTTATTTTGATCAGTTTTAGATCTGACACTGATTGTTTCAGTCCTACTAGTTATTTATGCTTGTAGTTTTACATTTGATGTCATATTCCTTTTTTTCTCGTTTTACAGGTGACTGTAAAGGAACAACAAGAATGGAAAATTCCACCTTGTATATCAAACTGGAAAAACGCCAGAGTAAGTGATACAACCAACATGTTAATTAGTTGCTGACACATTGTGTGTGTATGATGAGTAACTCACATTTCATCCATAATGAAATCATACGTAAATTCTGTTGAACTGTCTATAATAGTATACTGATAAGAAGTGATACAGAAACTGCTGTTTGTCTGTTATGAACCAGGATTAACACAAGTATATAGTATATACTGTATACAATTATATACTGGGATATTTTCAAAATCAATAGATTTTTAGGTCATCTTAGACAAAGTCTCAAGTGACCTATTGCGATCGCCTTTTGTCCGTCGTGCGTCCGTAAACAATTTACATTTTCGACTTCTTCTCCAAAAACCCTGAACCAATTGTAATGAAATTTTGCAGGAACCTTCCATGGACAAAGATCAACAAAAATATTGGCCGGTTTAGTCCCAAGCCCCCAGGGGACTGAGGGGCGGGGCCAAAAAGGGTCAAATTGACTAAAATTTCAAAAAGCTTCTTGTCAAGACCCAGATATGGTAGAATCCAATACTCTTCATAGATGGAAGGGTCTTAATGTGCTTTACCAAAATTGTGAATTTCATGACCCTGGGGTCTCACGTTTACCCCTGGGGAGGGGGTAAACTTTACTATAGTTTATNAAATTTCAAAAATCTTCTTCTCAAGACCCAGATATGGTAGAATCAAATACTCTTCATAGATGGAAGGGTCTTAAGGTGCTTTACCAAAATTGTGAATTTCATGACCCTGGGGTCTCACGTTTCCCCCTGGGGAGGGGGTAAACTTTACTATAGTTTATATAGGGAAATTACATTTTGGACCAACATTTGTTTAATTTCCATTGGAAGTTATTCAATTTGGGTTAGCATTATCATTATTGGATAGCAGTTTGATGGTATGCACATATCAGCCCTGACTGACCCCCTGGGACTGATCGGTGGGGCCAAAAATGGTTGAATTGACTGAAATTTCAAAAATCTTCTTCTCAAAGACCCAGATATGGTAGAATTAAACACTCTTCATAGATGGAAGGGTCTTAAGGTTTATGACCCTAGGGTCTCACGTTTACCCTGTTGGGAAGGAGGGGGGGATTTATTATGGTTTATTATGGCAAATGATACTTTGAATATTACATGTTAATAACTCGATTTGAATTATAACCTTGAGTTGACAGTTTGATACTTTGAAAATTTTGAGCCAGCCCTACCCCCAAGGGCTGTAGGGTGGGGCCCAAAGGAGTCAGTGTGCTAAAATTTCTTCATTTTCCTTGTTTAGAATCAGAGGTGCTAGTTTCAAATACTTTCTAGTCTTAAATCTGATTTTGATTGATTTTACCATCTTTGCTTGTTACAGGGTTACACCATTCCTCTGGACAAGAGGTTAGCAGCGGACGGCCGCGGGCTTCAAGGGGTCCACATCAATGAAAACTTTGCTAAATTAGCTGAAGCTTTGTATATTGCTGACAGAAAGGTGAATGTTTTGATTGTAATAGGCTACAGATTTTAAAAATGCTAAAAGTTGCAGAAGGTTAAAAATCTTTTTAGTTTTACTTGAAATTAGCTTTGCACTTTTGTTTGATGCTATTCTAAAATGTGTGTCATGTGCCATTCAGCAAGTGGATATCCTATCTAGACTGGTTTCTTTCCTACCTGCAGTTTTCAAATTGAACAGCACTTTTGAAAGTTTGTTTTATGGATGCAAATAGATAGGAGTTACTTCCCTTGAAACACCTATTTTCTGATAATTTTGCTAAAGAAACCTTTGGTCCTTTATATTTAGGCTAGGGAAGCAGTCGAAATGAGAGCACAGATTGACAGAAAGATAGCACAGAAGAAAAAAGAAGAGAAGGAAGGAGTGCTAAGACAGTTGGCCCAGAAAGCTAGGGAGGAGAGAGCAGGCATAAGGAGGGGTGATGGTAAACTTTTTTCCTGCTTTTACCTTTGGTTTTGTAACTTGCAAAAATTGATTGAACTATCTTGATTATGATTAACCTTTTTTTTCAGAAGTTTTGCAGTTTGATTGATTTAAGTTTTAATCAAACTATTTTCCATACAAATCAGCTGATTATAACATCTTTATTTAATATATCAGTAACTGTTCTTCTTGGTGTCACATGAAAAATCATATTTCCTAAACAATAATGAAATTCTTTGTATGAAGGAAGTTATGAATAAATCTTCGTTCAATGTAATGATGAATACATATTTATATGAGGTTAAAGATGAATATATTTTTGTATCAAGGTAATGATGATGAGGTAGTAGAAAGAGATGACATAAGGAGGGAGAGACAGAAAGACAGACAAAAGGATCGTAATTTGTCCAGGGCAGCCCCGGACAAAAGGTAAACACTAAAGAGTTATTTGATGTAGCACATATTTATGCAACTGCAAAAGGAAACAAAACAGACAAATGCAAACACAATAAGATATTTTGGTTTTATATTAAATCTGAGAGGATTGTTGATATGTCATACAAAGATATTTTACACTGTCTCCCTCATTCTTGATTTAATCAGTAAAATTATTTTTCGAATTGTTTGAAAGTAAGAAAACAAAACCAATATCTTTTAAGATGAAATTATATTGTTTGCAGTTTACTGAATCTTTACCTTCAAATGATTCTACAGGTCTCGACTACAGAAGGAGCGAGAGCGTGACATAAGTGAGAAGATTGCCTTGGGTCTCCCAAACACAGGGGCTGGAGGGTCAGAGATCCAGTATGACCAGCGACTCTTTAATCAGTCCAAGGTATGTACTGGCCACTAAAGTAAGTCGACAGATTGTACTGGTCACTTTAGTATGTCTACAGAATGTACTGGTCACTTTAGTATGTCTACAGAATGTACTGGTCACTGTTAGTAAGTCCTTAGAATGTACTGGTCTTTTAAGTAAGTCTACAGAATGTACTGGTCACTTTAGAAAGTCTACAGAATGTACTGGTCACTTTAGAAAGTCTACAGAATGTACTGGTCACTTCAGTAAGTCTACAGAGTGTACTGGTCACTTTAACTGTTTGTTTGTTTGTTTGTTTGTTTGTTTGTTTGGGTTTAACAGTCCATCGACGGCTGTGGTCATTTAGGACCATGATGATTTATTTATTTATTTTATTTTTTAAACAAACATGTGAGTAGCGAAAATAAAATCAGATAAAATGGTTTATTTTAATAGCATTCGCATTGTACGTGTAGATAATTAAAATAAAAAGGGGGTTAAAATATTAAAAATGATAACGAATAGATGATATGGACTATGTGATATATATAACGTCAAAAAGGGTAAGGTGGGTTAAAAGACATCAGAGTCTATAGAATAGACCGTTGTCTTTCAAATAGTTAAATGATCCCTTCGAGTCCACGGAACTGAAAAGAGTTTTCATATCCGGGATTCGAAAGCAGTTATCACGAATGTGTTTAAAATTGGAACATTCTATTAAAAAATGTTCCACTGTAAATGGAGTGTCACATGCGTGGCATGAAGGTGGATCTTCTCGTTTCAAACGGTAGGAATGAGTAGGATATGTGTGCCCAGTACGGAGTTGTGCGAGTACAACTTCCTTTCCACAATCTTTCCGACTTGGAATAGATGTTTTAAGTTTCGGTTGTACTTTGAAAAGTTTGTTGCTGGTCTCGAGAGTAGTCGAATTGAAGTGCAAGAATTAGCAGTACAGCAGGCTGCTGCCACTTTCTCACCCTCTTTGGAACCATCAGTGTAAAGTTGTGTATAAGAAGGGTAATTCAAAATGCTTTCCCAAAAGGAGGATTTGTGTTCTTCAGGCATAACTCTTGATTTCCCTTGCTCGTGTAATGGAAAGTTAAAATCAGGTGTTTGAATGGTCCAAGGAGGAACATCAACTGTAATGCAATTTTTTCCTTCTGTCATAAACGGCCGGATGATTCATTCGCTTCTACGTACAGGTTTTTTTACAGGTGTTGTTCAAAAAGCTCCAAGGGCTAGACGTAGCCCTTGGTTATGGATTGGGTCTAGCATCTGCAGGTACGAACTGCGCGCCGACCCATTTACCATAGAACCATAATCTAGTCTTGTTCGAATAAGTTATCTGTATAGGCGCAAAAGCATTTCGCGGTCCGCTCCACAATCAGTATGAGAAAGGACTCGTATAATGTTTAACGCCTTGTGCCATCGAGTGTAAGGTTTGGGTCATTGTGTGCTTTTCGTTTTTGACAGAAATGCATGCACACAGTTTTGGATTTAGATAATTTGAAGCCATTTTCGTCTGCCCGATTTTGTAGTTTGTTTAAACTCTGATGAAGTTGTCGTCCTATCGTGTGTATGTTCTTAGATCTGTAACAGATCAAGAATCACTTTAACTATTCCAGGGTATAACTGGTCACTCTGTAGTCAGTCCAAGGTATGTACTGCTCACCATTATGCAGTACAAAGTATATATATATACTGTCCACTTTTTATTGAGTCTAAGATGTGTGTCGTACAAGGATGTCCCATTTATATGATGTTTGTTTCAGGGGATGGACAGTGGATTTGGTGATGAAGAGGCGTATAATGTATATGACAAGCCATGGCGCCAGGATCAGACCATAGCAAGTAATATCTACAGGCCGTCTAAAAATTTGGACAAGGACAACTATGCTGAGGATCTGGACAATCTCATCAAGTCTAACAGGTCAGCTCCACACTCTGTTAGGGTTCTCATAGACTTACCAGCTCCATCCTCTCTTGGTGTTCTCATAGACTGGTCAGCTCCACAGAGCAGCTCTACAATTTGTTAGGGTTTTCATAAACTGGTCAGCTCCACACTCTGTTAGGGTTCTCCTTGGTTATTGTAAGGTTTGGGTCATTGTGTGCTTTTCGTTTTTGTTTCATAAACTGGTCAGCTCCACCCTCTGTTAGGATTCTCATAGACTGGTCAGCTCCACACTCTGTTAGAAATCTCATAGACTGGTCAGCTTCACACTCTGTTAGGATTCTCAGACTGGTCAGCTCCACACTCTGTTATGGTTCTCATAGACTGGAGCTGTTCTCATAGACTGGTCAGCTCCAACTCTGTTAGGATTCTCATAGACTGGTTAGCTCCACACTCTCTTAGGATTTTCATAGACTGGTTAGCTCCACACTCTCTTAGGATTCTTATAGACTGGAGCTGTTCTCATAGACTGGTCAGCTCTACACTCTGTTAGCTTTCTCATAGACTGGTCAGCTCCACACTTTTAGAGTTCTCATAGACTGGTCAGCTCCACATTCTGTTAAGATTCTCATATACTGGTCAGCTCCACACTCTGTTAGGGATCTCATAGACTGGTCAGCTTCACACTCTGTTAGAGTTCTCATAGACTAGTCAGCTCCACACTCTGTTAGGGTTCTCATAGACTGGTCAGCTCCACATTCTGTTAGGATTCTCATAGACTGGTCAGCTCCACATTCTGTTAGGATTCTCATAGACTGGTCAGCTCCACACTCTGTTAGGGTTCTCATAGACTGATTAGCTCCACACTATGTAAGGGATCTCATAGACTGGTCAGCTCCACACTCTGTTAGAGTTCTTATAGACTAGTCAGCTCCACACTCTGTTAGGGTTCTCATAGACTGATCAGCTCCACACTCTGTTAGAGTTCTTATAGACTAGTCAGCTCCATACTCTGTTAGGGTTCTCATAGACTGATCAGCTCCACACTCTGTTAGGGTTCTTATAGACTAGTCAGCTCCACACTCTGTTAGGATTCTCATAGACTGGTCAGCTCCACACTCTGTTAGGATTCTCATAGACTGGTCATGATCAGCTCATTATTTATGTACTATCTGGTATAGACTGGTCATGATCAGCCCATTAGTTATGTACTATCTGGTATAGACTGGTCATGATCAGCTCATTATTTATGTACTTTCTGGTATAGACTGGTCATGATCAGCCCATTATTTATGTACTATCTGGTATAGACTGGTCATGATCAGCTCAATATTTATGTACTATCTGGTATAGACTGGTCATGATCAGCCCATTATTTATGTACTATCTGGTATAGACTGGTCATGATCAGCCCATTATTTATGTACTATCTGGTAGGATGTTACCTTTCAGTTAGATCATACTTATGAACAGTTATTCAGTTGAAGAGGGAAATTTAGTATGATATACAAACAGTTTCAAGATTTATGTTTGTTTGAAGACTGAATTATACTGTATTGAACCATTATTAGAAAGGAAATGACAATGCATTGCTTCAGCTTAAATCAAAGTGGAAGGAAACAAGTCATAATGCCAAGGGGTCACTAACCAAAAATTGGAAATAGTTACTATCTTGGATAAAAACTTCCAGTTTTTGGATATCCCATATGTAAAGCTGTAAATGTGTTATCAGAATTAAATTCTAAAAAAACAAGTGATTTTATTACCTTGGCTGTGCCATGTTATTGAACTCAAATGTGAAGTAAAATAAAAGGGTGTATTTTTGTGATAGGTTTGTTCCGGACAAAGGATTTGCTGGCTCAGATCCAAGTCGTAGACGGGAGGGACCTGTACAGTTTGAGCAGGCTGAGGAAGAGGATCCTTTCGGTCTGGATCAGTTCTTGAAAAAAGCCAAGCGTGGAGAGAAACGAGGAAATGAAGATAACCGATCTAGTCGTGACTATGAAGGCAGCAAGAGTAAACACAAGAGGAGAGAATAGTGATAGATAACAGTGAAATACTATAAATAAACATTTTAATTCACCCATTAGCATGCAGGTGACAGGAGATCTACACAAGACTTTATAAATCATGTCATTGCATACTTGATGGTATAGGAAAACAAATGGACCATTAGAGAAAAGTTATTCCTTGTTAGATAAGATTGAAGACAAATACAAATCTGAGGTACTGACCTAAGATCTGGGCTTTTTAAACTGTTTAATATGTTAACTTTTCAGTTTGAAATCAATTTTAGAGTAATTTATCAAATATCTTTTTTAAATCTGAGGAAAGCTGATTTTGTCATAATTATGCTGAAACTTAATGTAATAAAAAAAAATGTGGGAAAACATGGCTAGTTGAACAGGAAAAGAACAAATATTTTATGTATGTACAGTGTCTGTTGTGGTAGTACAAAAATCAGATTAGGAAAGCAAGATAAACAACTAAAATATTCCTGTGAACATGATAATCTGTTGTGAAAATGCTTATGTGAGGGAGTTGTTGTAACCGTAAACCCTTTCACCACTGTAGACTGTCGTGGACTCAACCAGATCAGTGCATGGTAGAGTTTACTGAAGTTACATAGGGGTGAAAGGGATAACTATGTGTTTATAAGAAATATTCATTGACCTGAAATAAAGGTATAGTGTATTTGTCAGTAATATCACATTGTATTGTATGTTCACTTTCCAGAAAAAGAGTATAGACATTTCTATTGCCTCAATGGTCCCGAGTTCTCATCCAAATTAATAACAACCAGCGATTCAACATTACAGTGTACTATAGGTTGTTAAGACAATTGGCCAGTTCAAGTCACATGGGATCAATAATGAGTTATATGTAACTGAATATGGACTTAAATGGTAGTTGCAACATTTTTCTCTGTCAAAAAGTTAAAATGTATAATATGTGATTTGTCAGTGACTGAATAGAATAAAGAGTATGTGTAAATACAGCTGTACACCGTGTCTAATTATTTCATGTCATATAACATTAAGGGCGCCATGAAACCCTTGTCATCCTTTAACACAGATTCTGTGCTCAAGCCCAATTATTAGCTCACCTGGTCCGAAGGAGCTTAAGCCATACCGTGGCGTCCGTCGTCGGTACGTCAACAATTTCTTTAAACGACTTCTTCTTCTTAACCACCGATTGGAATTCAACTAAATTTGACTGGAAGCATCCTTAGGTGGTGGGGATTCAAAATTGTACAAATGGTTGGGCTGACCCCCCAGGGGGCTGAGGGCCGGGCCAAAAGGGGGCAATTCGGCTTTATTGCTATAAACGACTTCTTCTGTAGAACTGTGCCATGGATATCAATCATATTTGGTGGGAAGCATTCATGTGAGACAGGGATTCAAAATTGTACAAATGGTGTGGCTGTCCCCCCAGGGTGCTCAGAGGCGGGGCCAAAAAGGGTTATTTGGCAATACTGCTTTTAGCGACTTCTTCTCTGGAACTAAGCGATGGATATCAACCATATTTGACTGGAAGCATCCTAGGTAGTGGGGATTCAAAATTGTACAAATGGAGGGGGCTCAGGGGCGGGGCCAAAAAGTGTTATTTGGCTATACTGCTTTAAGCGACTTCTTCTCTGGAACTAAGCGATGGATATCAACCATATTTGACTGGAAGCATCCTAGGTAGTGGGGATTCACAATTGTACAAATGGAGGGGGCTCAGGGGCGGGGCCAAAAAGGGTTATTTGGCAATACTGCTTTTAGCGACTTCTTCTCTGGAACTAAGCGATGGATATCAACCATATTTGACTGGAAGCATCCTAGGTAGTGGGGATTCAACATTGTACAAATGGAGGGGGCTCAGGGGCGGGGCCAAAAAGGGTTATTTGGCTATACTGCTTTAAGCGACTTCTTCTCTGGAACTAAGCGATGGATATCAATCATATTTGATTGGAAGCATCCCTAGGTAGTGGGGATTCTAAATTGTACAAATGGAGGGGGCTGAGGGATGGGGGCAATTTTGCTATATTGCTACAAACGACTTCTTCTGTAAAACTATGCCATGGATATCGATCATATTTGGTGGGAAGCATTCATGGGAGGCAGGGATTCAAAATTGTACAAATGGTGTGGCTGATGGGCGGGGCTAAAAAGTGTAATTTGGCTATACTGCTTTAAGCGACTTCTTCTCTGGAACTAAGTGATGGATATCAACCATATTTGACTGGAAGCATCCCTAGGTAGTGGGGATTCAAAATTGTACAAATGGAGGGGCTGACCCCCCAGGCTAAGGGGTTGGGTCAAAAAAAGTTTATTACTTGGAAATGGTTGAGATTCCCACCATATAACCATATATGCAATTGCTGAGTATAAAGAGAAGAATGAACATCTTTTTCCAGGATGTCCCTAGAGTCTGGCCACACCCTTTGAGACATAGTCCCACGGTCATAACTTTGAAACGGTTGAGATCCCCACCCCAAAACTATATATACAAATGCTGGGCATAAAGAGACAATTGTACAGTTGTGGGACCGCACAACGCACCAAAAATAGCGTACGCACACCGTGCATACATCGTTCACACACCGTCCGCACATCGTTCACACATGGTGCGATTTAGCAATCGTTCGCCCCGTTGTGCGCTTTTCTCCGCACAACTGTGCGATTTGGTATCATTTGTAGATCAAAATTACGGAATGACAAAAATACGGAAGGCTTGTATGCGATAATGTACACTGTGTATATATCTGTAATTTCTCATCACAATAATCAAGATTATACAATTTCACAATGCGTGTTACACAGTATTACAGCGACCGTTAGGCTGTCAAGAATGGGTTTGGCTCCAAGGTAACAGAACAGGTAAATAACAATTTTATGAGTGTCCGGAGTTTTACCTGACCAGTGCCTGACACACAGAGCTGATATGCGATACCGTTTGACCGTAATGAATAGTATTTGTTATTTGCATTCGTTTGCCTATAGCTCCCCTTTCACCTGGATTTTCACACCCCCGGCCTTACCCGACGAGTTACGTAAATGCCCCAGGCGGGGAGAAAAATACGGTCCAGGTACATGTACAAAGTGGTTATGTTTACCTGTATACGGGATTGTGTTGTAATTTTATATGTGTCGATTAAGTTTGTTTAGAAACACAGAAAACACAATTCCTAAATATAAGAATATACAGTTGTGGGACCGCACAACGCACCAAAAATAGCGTGCGCACACCGTGCATACATGGTTCACACACCGTCCGCACATCATCCACACATGGTGCGCACAACTGTGCGATTTAGCAATCGTTCGCCCCGTTGTGCGCTTCTCTCAGCACAACTGTGCAATTTGGTATCATTTGTAGATCAAAATTACAGAATGACCAAAATACGGAAGGCTTGTATTCGATAATGTACACTGTGTATATATCTGTAATTTCTCATCACAATAATCAAGATTATACAATTTCACAATGCGTGTTACACAGTATTACAGC